GATCCAGTGATAGGACCCAAAGAGTTGTGAGTTTAATACTTGGTTAAGGCAGTGAAGAAGTGAATCAACAAGAGATAACTAATTAGACATGGAACTAGAACAATCTACTCCAGCGAGCAAAATAAAGGGTTCAGTTCGACATTCTAACCACTTGATGAAGGCCAGAGCGTACAATGGCTGAAACATGATAAATATGGTAACAAAGACGAGGACAATGGTTGGAATAATGTAAATAGTTTAAATTTTTATGTAGTTTCAAAATGTTTTATCAAAGTTATTGGATTTATTATAAAAACTGCAGTTTGAAGTTATTATGCAAATTAAACTAATATTAGTTTAAGGCCTATGAAATCTAATAAAAACTATTTCTTTTTTTTTTTTTAAATTTATGTTGAAACATGAATAATGGAAAGGAAATGATAAAAAAACAGAACATAACAAAGTTATTGACAGAAGGAATGTTCACATTGAAGATATCAAAGGAATTTCATAAAGATGGAACAATAAGGAGCAGTGCTTGGATGAAAGTGTAGAGAGTAGTCATCTCACCACATGAAAGGTTCCAGCAGTAACATGGCTTATGAAGCAGTTTTTGGCAAAGGACAACATTTCCTAGGTTCAACAACCACCATATACCAAAGATCTCACCCCTTGTTACTTTCTCCTATTCAAAAACCAAATCTCATTTGAAAGGAACAAGATTTCAAGACATTAAGGAAATCCAGGAGAATAAAACAAGACAGTTGCTCATTATCCCCAAAACAAAGGAATTCCAGGAATGCTTCTATCAATGGAAACTACACTGTGTAAAGTATGTGATTTCAAAAGAGGACTATTTTGAAGGAGATTAATTGTTGAATTAATATTTTTTTCTTTTTATAGATACTTATTTATCATACACATTCCTTAAGAAAGTACATACCATATATATATATGTATGTACTCTTGTAATGTGCGACCTTGTGTATCATGTAACCCCCAAATTTTCACTTATAAAAAATGATTTTATCATGTATCTTGTGAGTTCTTTTTTTTGAGAGAGACTAAATTACAACAGACTAACCCCTTATCTGCTATCTCTTTATCTCATCTTCTAGTTAAATAAAGTAAAAATGTACAAGAATAATGAAAGTATCATTAGAAACACTATACTCATTGCATAAATGCGTACAGCCATAAACAACAGAATCAGAAACAGCTAAACATCTTGTAAACATAAAGGAAAAGATGAATATTCATATGTTTGTATATTATAATATAATACTAATATGTGACTGTCTATATTTCTGAGATGAGGTATTATGTACACTATTTACATTATTCGGACTATTGTCCTCATCTTTGTCACCATATTTATTTACAACATTTTGGCTGTTGTATGCTCCAGCCTTCTTCAGGTGGTTGGAATGTTGAACTGAACCCTTTATTTCACTCACTGGGGTAGACTGTTCTTTATCTATGTGCCATTTTTCATGGATGTCAGTTATCAGTTATCTCCTGTTAATTCCCCTCTCCAAGTCTCCACTGCCTTAACTGGGTATTGAACTTCAACTTTTTGGGTCCTGTCACTGGATCTAACTAACACCTTTATCCACTGGAGAGGGGAATTAACAGGAGATAACAGACAACTGATATCCATTAAACATGGCACATGGAACTAGAACAGTCTACCCCAGTGAGCAAAATGAAGGGTTCAGTTCAACATTCCAACCACCTGAAGAAGGCCGGAGCATACAACGGCTGAAACATTGTAATAAATATGGTGACAAAGATAAGGACAATAGTCTGAATAATGTAAATAATGTACTAATATGTGAATATTACATGCATTATTAGATGCAGTTAAGTAAAACACTAGTTTTATCAAAATTATGTTTATTTTGAATACAGCTATACTTATGGACTATAGTAAATGGATATATAGTTTGGTCAGTGGCGCCAGCAGTACATATGCTAATTTTATATCTTATGTATGACACAACCCCCTTAAAATTATTATTATGTTTTGTATTAATTAAATCATGTCCCAGTAAATAAAAGGGTTGAGAGTTCAATACCTGGCTACTGCAGAGGTGAACAAAAACTTGGAGAGTTGAGTTAAAGGGAAATAACTGAGACATCCAGAAGAGGCGTGGCACGTGGAACTAGAACAATACCCCCCAAGCGAATGAAATAAAGGGTTCAGTTCAAAATTCCAATCACCTGGAGAAGAGTGGAGCATACACCATCGAAGCGTTGTGAATATGGCAACAAAGATGAGGGCAACAGTCCAAACAATGTAAATAATTAGAATACCTCATCTCAGAAATATAGACATATATTACAATTTATTCATCTTTCTTTAAAAGGAGAAAAAAAGATAAATAAAAAAATAAAAAAAGTGTTTTTTTTTTCATCAGTCATCAAAACACATTTACCTTAAGTTGACAATTCTTCCTTACACACACGAACACACCCCCACCACCAATATAATAGTAATGAAAAAAGATTTGAAAAGCTGAACAAAAGCACCTGGTATAGAGAAATATATAATAAGAAGGTCTACTGCAAAAGTAGTGGAAACTTGAATAAAATTTCAATAAAACCTTAAGTTTCCACATGTCCTCCATCATTAGCAATAAAAAAGGTAATACGATTTTGCAGTTCATGGAAAACATTTGCCAACTGATTTACAGTAATGTCTGAAATCACATTAGTTATTTTAGCTGTACTTAAAACTAGGTACATTAAACTTTATAACATTTTTTTACAAATTATTTCTATTGCAAATACAAATAAAGTGTTAATTTTTTTAAAGTGCACACGAACTTTATGGACACCCTGTATTAATAAAAGACAGCTTTATGGTTGAATTGTTACATAATGCCAGTTGTCTTATATGGCAGTGAAGGCTGGACAATTTTGTCACAGATGAAGAAGAGAGACTAGCAATATGTTTCTACAGTAGGACACCAAGATTGTTACTCATATGTTCCATGAGATAGCAAAGAATCAGAAAGACATCAGAAGCAAAGAAGGCTTGGAGAATTTAACACTCACAGGATATATTGAAGGCAAGAGAGACAAAAGAAAGCCTTAAATAACCTACCTAATAAACCTGTATAAATGGATGTCAGAACCGGGATAGTAAGGAGACAAAGCACTGCATAGATTGATTTATTTTCTACAGTTTATCAACCCCTTTAAGGTTATTTAAAGCCAGAAAATATTTTTAGTTTGTTATTATTTTGGGGCATTAGTTCAGTGATACAACTAATTAACCCTAAGCTGTGGGAGAAGAGGTGGATTTATGCTTTTCTCAAGGGTATTTGAACAAAGTGAATATAACAAACTCAACACTTATTGAAACTTGGCTCTCAAATTAACAATGCTAAGCCATTATCCATTACACCACCAACACACCCAGGCTTACAGCATTCTGGCATTCTCATATGATCTCCTATCTAGATACTGACCAGGGTCTATGTTGCTTAACTTTGGTGATGATAAAGAGAACTGATGTTTGTACATGATGTGGCTGTAAACTAGAAAGCATAGGGAATCAGAAATTGCCCACATCTTTAAAAAATATGACATATTCATGTAGTTATACATTATGAAATAGACAAAGTCCGACAATTATTTTAAGACATTTTTATGTTTATACATTCTTTTCATAGATACAAATATTTAAGTAAATGCTCTGTTTATATTAAACAGTATTAAACAACATTTACCAGCCTGAATGTCTGAGAAATTTTCACAGAAAATATTTATGTTTATACATTCTTTTTATAGATACAAATATTTAAGTAAATGTTCTGTTCATAATAAACAGTATTAAACAACATTTACTGGCCTGAATGTCAGAAATTTTCATAGAAAATATTTGTCCTCCGACAGGAATTGAACCTGTATCCTATACAGAGCCAACATATAGCCTGGCGTGCATTAACCATTTGGGCCACAGGGGAGCGTTCGGTTAGCAATGTTGATTTTACTGTTTTAAAGAAAATTCTCCATGATTTTCTCTCATTCATTTATATCTACTCATAGCATATCCAAATGTAAACAAATGACATCATACATTATGAAATGGACAAAGTCCAACAATTATTTTAAGACATGTGCAGATATGAATGAAAGAGAGAAAATCATGAAGAATTGTGTTTAAAAACAGTAAAATCGACCTTGCCAACTGAACGCTCATCTGTGCCCCAATTGGTTAAGGCACATCAGGCTATATGACGGTTACGTATAGGATACAGTTTCCATTCCTGTTGGAGAACGCATATTTTCTATGAAAATGTCTCTGACATTCAGGTCAGTGAGATATGTATTTCCAAACTCTTAGCAACTTCTTCCATTGAAATCTTCAGTTTATTCTCCACAATGGCAAGCAGAGAATCTTCATTGATTTTGGAAGTTTCCTCTGAGTATGGTTGATCATTTAGGTTAAAATCAACCCAACTAAATTTTTGTGACACACATATAGACAAAAAAAAAAAAAAAGACCAGAAATCATCATAAAAAGCTACAGTCAGATGATTAATGTTTTAAAAGTATTCCTTCAGTATCATATTATTGTCAGCAAGAATTGTTATACTTCTTTCTTATTATTATTTAGATATTCAAAAACAAATGAAATACCTCCTAATTTATTCTGTTAGCTGACAACATGCTGGTAAAAGCACAGTAGAGGTACAACCTTCCACCAGTGACCAATCTTTTTTTCTTTTTGCCTTGTTAAATATAATACAGCTAAGTTGCACTATAGTAAAATGGTGTCTGACATGAAAGTACATATGAAGCAGAGGTGTATCAATGAATTGTATCCATTGGAATCTATTAATGATGGCTGAATGTTTATGGAGACGATGTAGTGGATCTGAGCACAGGCAGTGATGAAATCTTATGAGATTGTTTCTTGACATGATTTACTGTCTTCTATTCTGTTAGATGGATACTTATCATCCACTTTTCTTCCTTTTTTGTCATTTCATTGCTTAAACCCACCTCATATTGAAACACCAGATCCCATACGATCATGAAGTTAAGCAACATCAAGCCTGGTCAGTACTTAGAGAGGTGACCATTTGGGAATGGCAGGTGCTGTAAGCTCGGAAGAGTAGGTGGTCTAATGAATAATGGCTTAGAATTGTTAATCAAAGAGCCAAGTTCCAATTCCTATAGGCTTTGTTATATTCACTTCTTCCAAGGGCATTTGTGTGTATGAATCCACCTTGTCTCTCTCCAGCTATATGTTAATTAGTAAGTTTTGTATCACTAAACCATTATCATCTAAAAATTCTAGCTTTAAATGTTAGATAAGCTGTAGAAAACAATACTGCAACTATGCTGAGCAGATCTTAGTTACAATTTCTGGGAGAGAGCATGTTATCTAGTGTGATCAACAATATGAACAAGGCCAGCAGGCTCAAGCCATAGGCCATGATGACTTGTGGATTTGTGCTAGCACAGCTATCAATGGCTCTCAAGAGTTCTGTTTACCCAATTTCACTCACAAGGCTTGAGTTAACCTGTGGTATGGTTTTTAGGCACTTTCCAGAGGTGCCACATGCTGGGATTGACCTTGATCCATTCCGATAACATCAGGAAGTCTCCTTCCTGATAAATCGACCATGGTGAGATTTGAACCGGGGTTTCATGGTCAGAAAGCAAACATTCTAACCACTCAGCCACATGCACATATATATATATACATATATCACCCTAACTTATAATTAAGTTAATATATTGAGATCTAAGTTTATTCCATTAGGTATTACTTTAGTAATATACTTTAATAAACACCTATTATTTATATTATCAAGAATGATTGTTTTTTGCATGCAAAAAAGGGAATAATCCCCCTTGATACATAGTGTTTACGTAAATTCAAAATTTTTTTAATTCTCTCTCTTTCTACCTTAAGACTTTCATCGATATAAATTATTAATAATTAAATATTCTAGACAGCAATAACATAAGGAACAAGTTTTAAGACATAATTTTAAATCAACTCCACAATGAGTATTTAGCACCTGATGATGGTGTAATTACATGAAACCCCGAGTTGTGCTATAACATGGGATATTGTGTGTATTCACTTATATATATTATGAATTAACTGATTTAAAATACGGTTTCTTTGCTACACAGGAATTACCATGTTTCAAAAACCGAAGCTAAAAACTTCAAATTTAATTATATAATTAAATTTGAAGTTTTTAGCTTCCAGTGTAGGGAAGAAACCATATTTTAAATCAGTTAATTTATAATATTTATGCTCTATAAATTTACATTGAGCACGGTTTCGTAAAAAAATCAATAAGAACACCAGATTATATATCTTACTGTTCTTTCTTTTTTATTATAATATATATATATATATATATATATATATATATATATATATATATATAAAATAAATATAGTTTTAAGGTGTGCTATATTTATGGGTTAAAGTGCTCAATATCAGAGATAGAGTGTATGTAAATATAAAAGTAAACATTGAAGTCAACACTCAGAGGTGACAGGCTGTTTCATGCTAGACACAATTATATGTGAATGAGATACTTTTCTATATCACTGTTCGTTTGAGTGGATATCTCAAAAAAGAACCAAGTGTTCTTTGCTCTCAAGGGTGTCTGAAAAAGGATGAGAGGTCATATATATATATATATATATATATATATAGGGTGTCCATAAAGTTTGTGTGCACTTTAAAAAATTTATAACTTTATTTGCAAAAAATGTTATAAAGTTTAATGTACCTAGTTTTAAGTATAGCTAAAATAACTAATGTGATTTCAGTAAATCAGTTGGCAAATGTTTTCTATGAATTGCAAAATCATATTATCCTTTGTATTGCTAATGATAGAGGACATGTGGAAACTTAAATAAAATTTCAATAAAACTTTAAAAAATATAGATTTACTTCTTTCTATCGCAAATACAAATAAAGTTATAAATTTTAAAGTGCACACGAACTTTATGGACACCCTATATATATATAGCCTTTTACCACAATAAAGTGCACATATATATATATATATATATATATTTATTGAAAAAAGGTGGAAATAAATTATAAAGAGAAATACTGTAATTCTATAAAAATTTTCACTGATTTAATAATATTAATAAATTGTGTTTTTGATTCACAAATTAAAAAGTTTAATTGATTCAAAATTATTACCTTGTGCATAGTTTTGACTTAAAAGGTTAATTAATTAGATTCATATTTAAAGTTCAATTTCTGTAATTGGAAGCCAAATAGGAATTTCTGCCCAAATGAATTCCCTGTTAAATCTGAAAACCAGTGAATAAAGCAAATGAATAATAGAATTCTATTCCAATTGTTAATATCTCAAATCAATTTTTCTCATCTGAAAACTAATCAAAATCACTCAATTGGCACCACTCTTGCTCAAATCTCTCACAACACCAGCAAACTTCAAAATACCCATTTCATTAAACAAAGCTATTTTCCCAAAATTAATCTTTGACCTTAAACTAAATTCATTTATTTCTTACACTCTGTTCTTAAATTAACAGAATATTCTATCAGTAATTCCATGAAAAGGAAAAGTTTGATATTTAAAAGATTCAGACATCTTTTCCATGAAAGACTTCTGTATTTGTTACCATATTAGACATACATTTTATGTTGCGACCCAGTAAAAACATATTTCCCCTCATCTTATATCCAAATATCTGAGCTAGGCTGTATCTGAAAGATATTTGGATGTGCAGTCTGGCTTACTTCGAGTTTTTGGTAACGAGTGTGACTCTAATGCAAGAATCAGCTACCAGGTCGGGCAGGGAAAAAATACTCATGCCTTTCAAAATGCAAGAGACATCCATGATTGATCAAACAGAAATTTGCAAAAGCAACTGATCTCTTTAAGAAAGAAAGAAATTGAGTAAGTAAGGTTTATTTTTTTTTTTAATAATATTTGGTAGATAATAGATGCAACATGTAAGGAATTTTGTTTGGCAAGATAAGCCTTTATTTTGTTTGTCATTTCATAGACTGTTTATGATAAACAACTAGTACTTGAATCCTGCCTAATTCCATAATATTGTATTTTTTAATTAGAAAGGCATAAATATGCCATCAGATGCATTAATGAAACACTAAAATAAAAAATGATCCAGTCTTTGGCTTAGCAATTTCCTCAAATCAAAATAATTTACAAATGATCCATTGAAAATAAAGCCAGCATTTGCTCTTTCTAATTTTAAAATGGTTATTTTTTTGTTTTCATTAACTTTCTTGTAAATATATGATAAAAAAAAAACAGAATTATTTTTATAACAAAAGAAATACCAGACATAAAAATAAATTACAAAACAAACATAAAAGAAAATGATGAAGAAAACTGGCTTCAGCTCAAATACAATCAGCACTTAATTTATTTTGAATTTTTGTCAATAAGAATTTGGTCCATTGGATATAAGGTAATATTAATCTAGACAATCATTCACAGATAAACAGATAATAGACATTTTCTAAAAAAAAACATTTTTCTTTACAGATTTTCTTTCTCTAGATATTTACCATGACCAGTATTGCCATTAACTTTATACAGCTTGGTTACCATCTTACATATCCTCTATTTGGAGTGAAACTGACACTAGGAAGATTGTGTTGCACCAGTTTTCTGTAACACAAAAATTGGGTTAGCCTGATAAAAGACTCCGAGTTGTATGTGGTGCTGTAAGCACCAGGAGTTGTGTCCACTTCCACAATGGGCTGTTGAGAGAAGACCTACTTAGAGCAGGTGGTGCTGCCTATTGGCATATGAATGATATTGGGCAGGTATTAGCCAATAGTCAGTGTGGGTCAAGAACTAGGAGAGCTATATAACACCAGTATTTTTCTCAGTTGAGAGAAGTGCTCTGACCATCCAGATGTGTGAAAACCAGACAAGACGAACACATTTTCTAAGAAGATGGACTGACATATGTTTCTCATTCAGAAAGCTTAATTTAACCCACAGGGACTGGAATCAAGCAGGTACTACACTCTGATCCAAAGTAGAAAAGCATAATAGTCATCTATACAAACAGAATATTTGACTCAATGCAACACTGGAAATGTTTCTTCTGCACAGAAAGATGATGGATGAAAAAATGAACATCTTAGCTGTTAATCAAACTTTTACATAATTTAAACACACCTTTTTTTTTTTTTGCTTTTTTGGCAATTGTGAATTCAGTCCCTTTTACTCTGGTTCAGCAGAAGGAACAGACAAGTAACACCAATGTCACTCTAGTTTGGAGTGAAATAAATCATAGAAGATTTCCTCTAAAAATGAGAACAATCTATCCCATAAATTGAATAAAGGGATTTGGTTCAAAATTCCAAGAGTATTATCAAATATAACTGATACCTGAAGAACAACACAACCAGGATGAATATCTTTCTTCTTTTATGTGCTGTGTCCCTTCAGGACATAGGAGGATGTGGAGAGCCATGATCATCTATCCCTTGTAGTTCTCAATACGTTTTGACCTTTTGCTACTTCTCTCACATCCTGTTTTGTCATCCATTTGCCTAATCCCACTAAGTATGTCACATGTTGCTTTCCCTTGTCCCTCTTTCCCTGCTATCCACCCTGTGAGTATCAGATTTTCCAAGCCTTCTTTTCTCATTACGTGTCCCAGAAATTTCAGCTCTCTCTTCCTAATGCTAAGTATAATTTCGTCCTTGTTTACATCCTCTCCAAAACCTCATTATTGCTCCCATGTTCGGTCCATGGTATCCTTAGCATCTTTCTATAGAACTACATCTCTGTCACCTTGAGTCTCTTCTTCATCTTTGAGGAGACCATCCAACATTTGTTGCTGTAAAGGAGGACAGATATCACGTAGCAGTTCAGTACTCTTTTCTTTGTTACCAACAAAATCCTCCTGTCTCGTAATACTCTGCCTAGCTTTTGGCTATCCCAATACATCTTTGGATCTCAGCATCACACTTACCGTCCTCTGTCAGAACACTTCCCAGATATTTAAATTTCTGCACCTGCTTGATTTTAGTGTCCCCCAACCTGTAAATCACATTTTGGACACATCTTTTTACTGATGACTGTGCATTCTGTTTTCTTGTAG